AAAAAAAAGAAGAAAAAGGGAGACAGCCGGCAATGACCCAAGGAAGAGTAAATGAAAAGTAAGTTTGACTTTTCCTTACCTTTTTGGATTTGAAAGTTAAATGAATTTTGAAAAGGAGTGGCTGGGGTTGATCTAGACAATTGCTCCAGGAGATATTTTTGGAGTTGCTTTTAAAAGGAATTTGACATGTGGCATAAGTAATTATGGTGTGGGAGATAATTTATTTAATTAAAACACTTGGATTTATCTTTATAAAACCAAGTGTTGGAGGGCATTGTTTACATCATAAATTGCAAAATTTTAAATTAATGTCACGTGTAAAATATTTTTTATTGGTTGGAGGAGATTGACCCATGTCAAATTTGGATTCTGGACCCCATGACAGATCAACACTTGTGTTGGCAAAAGAGAAGAGCTAAAGATAATTTTTTATGGAGTAATTATCTTCTTGAGATAGAAAGGGATAATGGGAGCTGGAAAATAGGAGAAGATTGCAGTTAAAAAATGGGTTTTATCTGATAAGAGTACATGTGGCGAAATCTGCAAGGAGATTAGATCAGGTCAAAAGGTGAGTTGTCCCACTACTTCGAGAAACCACCCATGATTGAGTAACTGTAGAAAGTGGAAGTTACTGTCGGCACAAGGAGAACAAAAAGGAAATTTTGAAAGGGATAACAGACGGTCAGCCCTACTCAAACATCTGCAAATTTTTAGACTTTATTTTATCTGCAATCTGCTTCCAGATTTTGAATTTCAGCACAGATTCTGATAGAATTAGGTTGTTATTCACATTCCATTAGGCAAATTAATTCATGTATTCAGTTCAACAATTTCCTTTCATGCAATAAACTTCAATCTTTCAAGTTTATGCCAGGTATTGTTCTCTTTCCATTTGCAATTAATTTAATGTTTATGATAAGTAGCATTTTATTCAATGATTACTTATGTGGTGTTCATACCTCTTTAATTCTGCAACATTTTAATTTCCAAATCTGCCAGTACATAGCATTTTAATTTAACAATGAACATGTTTAGTTTAATTTGGGTACAGCTTTAACTCACAAATTTACTTTAAATTGCAGGTTATTTAGTTCAATTAGGATTTGTTAATTTTAAGTCACGGTAGTGTTTAAGTCCTTGGAGTTGTCCAAGGCAGATTTCGTAACCCATTCTGCAGGAAGGTATCCCTCCCTCTTGCAAATCGTCTGAAGGCGCAAATTTCATTTTAATCCAATGTTCTTCCCGCCATCTGCAAAGAGGTCAACCGTGAGGAAAGAGAGGATCATTGGGAAGGTCCTCCTTTCTTACTTTCAGCAAAGTAAGTGGCACGAATCCAAATTTCACACGTGCGAGGCCACTAGAGGATTTTTGGGGAAACACACACAGATTCTCAGCTTGCCATTCTTTTTAACCACAGAGACCACATTAGATAACCACTCCACATATTTGGAAGTTCTGATAAAACCAACCTTTAACAGCTACTCTATCTCTTCTTTAACTTTCAAAGTTAGTTCTAGAGACATTCGTCTGGGTGGCTGCTTGAAAGGTTTAAAGTCTTCTCTAATTGGTAATCTGTGCTCCACCAAATTTCTGTCCAAACCCAGATTTACCTCCTCTGGGAGATCTTGTACTTCTGCCTTCAAATCATCGAGTTTTACTGGTGCTAGATCTAATTCCTCCAGAGTTACCTGATCCTTTAAGTCCTCCTCTTCTCCTTCATAGACTACGTCAGATCTGTCTACACAAATCCGTTTTTCTGCAAGGTAGGCCGCTAATTTTCTTTTGATTTCTTCCATAGCCTCCTTTTTCTGGTGCTTAATGCGATCCTTCTTCATGGAATCTCTTCAATTTCAAGCTCCTTCCTTGGCCTAAAAGGACTATAGGGCAAAGAAGTTCATCACAAACCTCCTTCACAGTCTGTCTGTCTAATGCAAATCTGGTGCAGGCAATAATTTCAGAAGGTCTGCCATAACGATCCATCCCAAAGAAATGGATAGTCCCAATATCTTCATCATAAAAATGAGCTTTCACAATATTAGTATTTGCCACAAAAGGCTTGTCATCTGCTGTCACAACCTTAGTTCTACCACTGTTCCAAAATATCAATTTATGGTGCAAGGTTGAAGGAACACACCATCTGGAATGTATCCAATCTCTCCTAAGTAATGCATTATAAGTGCCAATGGTGTCAACCACAAAGAACGCATATATGAGAGTTCTATTTCCAACAATGAGTTCTACCGGCAGAATTCCCCTTGAGCGATTTACCCCACCAGTAAAGTCACTGATTGTCACTCCTGTCTCCATTAAATCACCCAAAGATTTGCTAATTTTATGTAACATATAGGTTGGCAAAACGTTGACAGCTGCTCCATTATCAACCAGAACTCAATTTATTGGCATACCATCCAGATATGCACGAATGTATAATGGCCTGATATGTCTGACCATCCTCTCTTCTGGTTTTTCAAAAATGATTTTATCTGCTGAATCCAGATCTCCATCTTCTTTAGCTGGGATCTCAATGACTCTTTCTTCCTTAGTTTGATATGTTTGCTGATAGATTGTGGATTCTTATTGTTCTCTAACTTGAAAAACCAAAGGCAGAACGATCACCAAATAAGATAGATTCACGGAAAACTTACCAAAATGAATTACATCTGATGAATTTTTTGCTTTATTTGACATGTCAAACTTCGCCTTTAAACCAGTTTCTTCATTTGATTCCACAGCCAAAACTCGAGGTGATGTTGGACTTTTGGGTGGTTCATTCTTTTCTGGAGAAGACTGACCAAATGTGCTTCCTTTTTCTTTACGGACCCACACTAATTTTCTTCTTGCTGGGAGCGACTTAGTCTGATCTACCATGCCCCCTAAGTCTACAATCTATTGTCGGTGTCTTTTTGCTGCCCTTTTACATTATAAGCGCCTCCTCAATGTCCTTGGATTCTGAACCTTAAGGAATTTTGGATGAACCACATGTTCCCACCGTTTGCTTAGAGATCTAAGTGATGGTTTCACCATTCTGGGCTTTTCCGTGCGTCCAAATATCGTGGTTTCTTGATTTGCATTATTTTTCTGTTGAGTTGGGTTGTGCCCCCTGGGTTTTCTCCCTTGGTATCAGCCTGATCTGACCTGATTTCTGCGGACCCTTGCCTCCTCAATGACCCACCTCAAATCATCAGCTACAAGTCTGTGCCTAGAGTATGGCTGAGTTTTGTCTCTAGCAATGCTCCTGAGATCTGCTGCATTCACCCCAACAGACATGCTAGGGAATGGATCTGCATCAACTCCCATATTTTCTTTGGCTTTATCTAGAAAACACAGAATTCCCTTGTCAATTTTGTCTTGCAAACATTCCAAAAAATAATGCAATCATTAGTCGAATGTTTCCAAGAATTATAATATTTGTAATATTCTCTATTTCCAATTTCGCCAACCGTTGGGATTTTATGCCCTGGTGGCAACTTAATTAGACCACTCTTCTTAAGGTGGTCAAAAATTTCATTAGTCTTTGAGATGTTAAAGGTGTATTGTTTTCCAGCCTCACCGACATAACGCTTTACTGTTTTGTTAGTCTGTTGGACCACTTTAATCAAATATGGGCAAACAACTGGCTTGTCTGCCACCACTTCTGCCACATCCAGATCAAAGTTAGCGTCACCATAATAAGTTCCATAAGATGCAAATTTCCTTTGTGTGTCATCTTGTAATAAATTTTCATAACGAGCCACCTTGTAAGACAACTCAAAGAAATCACGAAACTCCATTCCCTCAAACTTTTTCCTTAACTCAATTTCCAAACCATTTTGTGCCAGCTTGACAAATTCCTGTTCTGGCAAGGCAACTCTGCACTTAAGTATGGCCTTCCAAAATCTGGAAATGAAGGCCTCAGATGTTTCTCCAAGTCGCTGCACCAGACGAGATAAATTTGCCATGGACACTTCTGGCTCACTGCGGTAAAACTGGATATGGAAAAGATCCTCCATCTGCCTCCAAGTAAACTGAATTCTGTGGCAGACTTAGATACAAAGTGAGAGCTGTACTAGTTAAAGAGCTGGGAAAAAGTCTGAGCTTCAGATTATCATCACCGGAGGCCTCGTCAAACTGAATTGTGAAGCGGCCTATGTGTTCAATTGTAGAATATCCACCATCTCTAGAAAATAGAGTGAATTCTGGAACCTTGAACCCCCTTGGAAAAGGAGTCTCTTGGTCTATGAAATCTGGATATGGTTTTTTGTAAGCTGGTTTGACTAGAGGCCTTAAACTTAGCCATAAACCTCCTGCACCAAATCAATGATCTGATCATGATTGATGTACTGCCCTGGCAAACCTTGAAGATTTTGTTGCATAGGTGGCACATAAGGCTGAAAATGCTCCCTTAGTGGAGGTGCATTATGTTGTAGGTGTCCTCCATTTGGTCGACGCTGAGGTGGCAGATATCTAGGCTACTAGTGATTGCCCAGTTTTGCTGCACACGGTGCAGCCTCAATGGGATCTAGCTGCATTGGTCCGCCTGCTACTTGTTGAATCTGGGGAGGTGGTTGTGGCAGATTAACTTGCCCCCCAAGTGTTAGAGTTGGAATATTCTGATTCTACCTTTGAAGATCTGCTACTTGTGGTTGAGGTTCAATTCTGGCGCGTCAAAATGCCTCCTGCATTCATTCTGTTTCAACTTGAAAGCTCTCCAATTTCTGCATTTTGCTCGCGCCAAATTCTAGCACTTTCTTCAATGGAGCGTCGCATGTTGGCTACCCTTTGAGCTACACTTTGGGTCAAATTCTGAGCCAAATTCTGAAAAGACTCATCCAACTCTCTAGCGACCTCTTGGCTTCTTTGTTGAGCTTTTTCCTCATATTCCAACTGTGTGTGCCTCATTATGCTAATTTGTTCTAACACAACTTTCATAAAGGAGTCACTAGATTGAGCAACATCATCTCCAGATTCATTATCCTTGTTAAAGGTTGGATTGACAAAAGAGTGCTCCCCAAGTATTGGTGACAATGGTGGTGGAATGACTGGCTCATTCTCTCCTTCTGAGTGTGTTGGACTACCTTCACCAAGCCCAATCTTTTAAGTCTGGGCAGCCTTCTCAACATTTCTTTTTGGTGGCATAATTACACTTTTTCTTGGAAAAAAGAACAACTGATCTGAAAACTGTAAGTAAGACACAGTGATGTCCCACTGGGCGTGCCAAAAAAGGATTGTTTCCCCAAAAATCCTCTAGTGGCCTCGCATGTATGAAATCTAGATGCTGGCATGCCACTTACTTTGCTGAAAGTAAGAAAGGAGGACTTGCCCAACGACCTTCTCCTTCCTCACGATTGACCTTTTTGCAAATGGCGAGAAGAACGTTGAATTAAAATTGAAATCTACACCTATAGACGATTTGCAAGAAGGAGGGATACCTTCCTGCAAAATGGGTTACGAAATCTGCCTTGGACAAATCCAAGGACTTAAACACTATCGTGACTTAAAATTAACAAATCCTAATTGAACTGAATAACTTTCAATTTAAAATAAAATTATGAGAATAAAATATGCCCAAATTAAATTAAACATGTTCATTGTTAAATTAAAATGCTATATACTGGTAGATTTTGAAATTAAAATGTTGCAGAATTAAAGATTGTACCCATATTAACATTAAAATTAACGTGAACAATGATTAAACTAACATGCTTGAAGTTGAAAAGAAGTGTGAACACCACATAAGTAATCATTGAATAAAATGCTACTTATCATAAACATTAAATTAATTGCAAATAGAAAGAGAACAATACCTTGCATAAACTTGAAAGATTGAAGTTCATTACATGAAAGGAAATTGTTGAACTGAATACATGAATTAATTTGCCTACTGGAATGGTGAAAAACAACCTAAATCTACCGAGATTTGTGATGAAATCTGAAATCTGGAAGCAATTTGCAGAGAAAATAAAAGTATGAAAATTTGCAGATGTTTGAGTAGGGCTAGCCATGTGTTCTCCCTTCCAAAATTTCCTTTTTGTTCTCCTTTGGCCGGCAGTAACCCCCCACTTTCTGCAGTTACAAAGTTGTAGACGGTTTCTTGAGGTAGTGGGACAGCTCACCTATTGACTTGGTCTAATCTCCTTCCAGATTTTCGCTACCTGTGCCCTTATCATATCAAACCCCTCTTTAACTGCAATCGTCTCCTATATTTTAGCTCAAACAGTCCCTTTTTGCCTCAAAGAGATAATTACACAGTAAAATCTCATCTTTATCTCCCATTTTCTGCTAAAATGATAGCTGATTTGTCATGAGGCCCAGAATCACGAATCTGACATGGCTTAATCTCCTCTATCCATTTAAAAAATTTTTGACAGATGGCATGATCTTAAATTTTTGCAATTTCTAATGTAAACAGTTATAAATATAATAATATCAAATAATAGATAAAGATAATAATATATAGAAAAACAAAA